AAAAATGCCGAAAAAAATAATAGCACCACTTTTTCATTTTGCGCTAAAAATTATTAAAAAAATTAAAATGAGTAAAAACTTTTTTGTATATATTTTTTTCGCTCATATTCCTACGTTACTTTGTCTTACTCTGTCTAAAAAACAAAAACATTCCTTCTATACACACCTACACTCATAGACTATCTCTTTCTATCTGCATTATATTGTTAATTAGAATGCCTAATTAATTTAGTTCAGCAATATATTTAATATCTTATTAATGACCTGTCCTCCTCTGCTAATCAGCCGTGTGTGAGACAGCAAATCAACTCAAAGGAATCGTTCACAGGAACAACCGAATATAGAGGAACTACAAAGACTACTAGGACTGCTTGGATCACGGATCAGCAGTTCGGCGAACTGCGTTCGATATGCGTACGCCATGTGCGATTGCTCTATAAATAAGTTATTGGCCGGCCTCTAAGCGCGTTCCATGCTGTAATTTCCTCTGGAACAACAAATGGCTCATGCCCTGGCGAAGAAGGCAAGTCATAAAAAAGGAAAAGCATGCTCATTGTTGGAGTGAGAGAGAGAGAGAGAGAGAGAGAGAGAGAGAGAGAGGTAGAGCAAGAGAGCGAGATAGACAGGAAGTTGGAGTCTGCGTTAAATTAATGATATTTTACATACATCTTAATTGCGTGTCTCTGGCTTTTTGTTGGCGCATCCTTCAGGCCAATTGGCTGGGCCGAGCGCTCTGCGCTTGTCAGCCAAATTGCTTAGCCCTCGAGCTGCTTATAATTTATTGAAATCGCGGCCAGCCAACGGCAGAGGCAAAAGCCAGAGCCAGGCCTACAATCGCCAATGCCCAGAGACCCTTCAGCTTGACTGTTCGTGTCGCCAATTTGGGGGAAATTGCAAAATCAACGCGCTCGTAAATTGAAAAATCTTGTCAAGTGGGCGGACGAGACAGAAACAAAAACAAACACAAAATACAAATACCAAAAAAAAAAAAAAAAAAACAGTACACAACAACAAAAACAAGACCAATAACAACAACAGGGAGAGTGAGAGACAAAATATAGACGAGGCTTGGCCTTTGCCGCCCGTTGACAGTTTGTTAATTAAAACCAGCAGCTGGGCAGGCGGCGGTCAACTGGTCATCCAGTCATCCAGTCATCCACTCAACCGGTCAGCTGTGCACTGAGGCGCTCAGTCAACGTCTCAAACGCACACACTCCGGCCCTATTGCCCCGCCCACCACCAACCCACACACACACACACTCACACACCTAACGCCCACAGTGCCTGTTGGAACCCGGAACCCAATGCAAACAGAGACAGAGTGAGAGAGAGATGGAGAAAGGGAGAGCGGGAGGGTGAGAGAATGGAGAAGAGAGCGAGAGCTCTGCAGTTGGCAGACGGAAAACGTCAGTAGTCGAAGTGCTAATAAATTCCCCAACAGTCAGTCGATTGTGAGCTGTGACACCAAGAGACGAACAATGTGCGAAGGGTGGGCCAAGCGGGTGGGGTGGGGCGCTAGCCGGGACCCGCTCGGTGCCCAGTGGCTCTACTCACCTATCGTTGTAATTAATGTCAGGGAGTAGAGAAATGCCGAGGCGTAGGTCCATTTGTGCGTCGGTGCATTCATTTGCACACCGCCTGGCTGATAGACCTTCGATTGGCGCACCGCTCGCAGCAGCGTGTCCTGCAAGAGCAAAGCCAGCGACACACGCGCGTGGATTTAGCGAGGGATTTGGGTTATTAATTGACGTGTAAACGCACCTGGAACAGTTGCACCTCCTGGGCGGCCAGCCGTGTCCAGTTCTCCTTGTAAAGTATGTTCAGATCCTCGGTTATGGACCACAGTCGATCAACGGTTCTATCATAATCGATAGATTGCTCGATAGATTATCGCCTCTACTTTATGCCAAGATTGAACTCACCTGGAACGTATCTCGGCATTCGCCAGCTCGGTGCGCGGATAGGGCTTGGAGGCGGCCACAGCCGTCTCTAGGGCTGTCCCGTCCTCCAGTTCGCCTTCGAGCGTTACAAATATGATGGAGCCCATGGCCGTGTAGAGCAATACCAATAGCAAAACACCTGGCGTAGAGCAAGAGAGAGAGAAGGAGAGGGTAACCCGAATTATTACAGTTATCCTAATATGAGAGACGTGCACCAACACATTAATGGACGGTGTATTTAATATATGCATCTACCCGTAGATTAGCTGAACAGTAAGATAGATTTAGATTTTCTAAGCCCAAAGCTGTTAAAGGGAGGGACTGCCAGAGGGACTGTCGGAACAGTCGTTCAGGCCGTCAGACGCACAGTTGAACGGACTGTCGGGCGAGCAGTCGGACGGAGTATCGGCCGAATATTCGAACGGACTGTCGGACGGAGAATCGGACGGACTGTCAGACGAATGGTCGCACGGAGTTTCGGACGTAAAGTCAGACCAATAGTGGGACGGACTGTCAGACGAACAGTCGGACGGACTATCAGACTATCAAGCGAATTGGCGGAAGGACATTCTCACGAATAGTCGCCAGGATTGTTGAATGAACAGCCGGACGGACTGTCGCACGAGTAGTCGGCAGGACTGTCGGACTAGCCTTAGGACGGACACTCTTCAAAGCTCATATACTCTTGGCTAACATTGACCTTAAAACGTAAATTGGCTGCGACTTTAACGTCTCCCACACTCGAAACGGAACAGGGCTACGCCTAAAGCTCACTCGAAATGGCTCCACAATGCTGCTGGCAGCCGTGCCGAACTGAGTACGGTTTGTGCCACGGCTTGTTGTATCAACGGCAATGGCAATAGAGCCGTTGCAGCTCTGGCTGTACGTTGTGCGGTACTTGAGGCACCGTAAGGGTCCACTCACCTGTCGCTGATATGCAATGCGATTTAGGCGCTTTTTGGCAGCCACAGAGGCCGCCGCCGGCGTCCCGTTGCTTGTCCGCCTTCGATGCGGATGAGCCGCTGGTGCCCGCACCACTGCCGACTGAAGTGCCAGCGCCACTCTGAGCGCCATTTGTGGCGCCGCCTGCGAAGCACATATTTGAGCCGCTCGGGCGACCAATTCGCGAACTGCTGCCAGCCACGTTTTCAGCTCTTGTTGAGATGTTGCTGCTGTTGTTGTTGTTGCTGTTGATGTTGCTGCTGTTGTTGGTGTGAAAGGTAGCCAGGGGCAGTGACGAATTTTTGTTCATTGTCCCACGAAACGAGGCAATCAACGTGAGCTTCGCCCCCCGCAGTCAATCAATCAGGCTAAGCCCACGCGTTGGCCAAATGAGCAACTGGTTAAATGATCAGCGGATCAAATGACCAACACGACCAAACCGACCAGACCGACCAAATGAGAGCGAATGCTCCAATGGACGAATGAGCGCGTATTGCAATCAAATCAAAAGCTTTGGCGCCTCATGTGGCACGTAATTTGCATCCTCTTCGACTCCTGCCGGCTTTTACCGCCTCTTCTTTCTTTTTTTGTCGCAACACGTTATTATGTGACCGTCATAAAACGTTGTCGACAGCAATGAAAATGTTGCAGTTGTTGTTGTTGTTGTTGTTGTTGCTGCTGCTGTTGTTACTGTCGTTCTTGCGCGGAAATGTTTTTGGGTCAAAATTGTCGCCGGATGCTGCAAATGCAAAATATTTTTTGTGTGAAAAAAGAGCGAGCTCTGGCAGAATGAAAATGAAAATTGCTATTCGGGGCACACACAAAAAAGTACACACACTAACACACACACACAAACACACGGACGCACGCACACAGTTGGCTCTGGTGTAGACAAATTGCATGGCAAATGTTGTGTAATTGACTTAGCCGCAAGCGGGGAGTCAAAGTTATTGCAACAACAGACTTATTAGGCCGATACATTTAATGCCCTACACAACACAACAGCAGCATGCCCCAAGGCGAGCCGAGTTGACGCGACTGAAGTGTTATACAATTCATTCCTATTTATTATGCACAATGGACTTTTGGATGGACAAACAATGTGCTAGCTAACTTGGCTCGATGGACTTGAGTCCATATCCCAGGAAATTGTGACAACAGCATTTTATTATTAACAAATCACGTGTGTGGCACTCGTGCGAGCTGAGGCTTTTGTCATCTTGGCAATCAAATTGTCAAATGAAAAACTCAAATTTCGAAATTCCTCACAAGTTTCGCCTGATGCACGGCAACAGTTGACTGACATTTGAATTGCCTGGGAAGCAGCTTCCTGCTAACCTGGCTATATCACATTGTATTAAGCTCAATTGCAAGCATGACACGAGCCGAGCCGAGGCACCTCACACTGCCGGCAGCAGTGAGGAACACAATGAATGCAAGGGCCTTTGTTAACATTTGACAGCAGTTCAAGTCGTTGTTATCAATTATGCTCCAATTGAAAGTTGCAATCAGTTGACTAATTCGAAACTTTATTTGAAAATGGCTAAAGGCGAGAAGAGCGGGAGAGAGAGAGAGAGAGAGAGAGAAGAGAGCGAGTAGAAAGGTGTCAGAATATTGTACACGTAGTTAGCGCAAGTCAATTAGGCTCGCATGTTAATGTTAAGTGTGTCAGAAATGTTAACGTGAACAGAGCGCTAAGCTGTTAACTGACAGTTAAACTGACGGAGAGATTTATTCGATGGGAATGCAGGAAGTGAACTTAGTTAAAGTGAAAAGAAGCTAATAAAACGTGAACTTCAGCTTGAAATTAGTACTCTAATTATATAAATATTATTAATATACTTGTTATAGATAAATTATGCTGAGCATTCAAATTTATATATCATATTAAATTAATTACAAATTATTAATGATATATAAATTATATATAACTATATATAGTTATGTATGCATTTTAAGTAGAGTGGAATCCCAGTAATTCGATATTAAATGATATAAATTATTTATGATATAATATATATTTGTATGCTATTTAAGTAGAGTAGAATCCCAGTAATTCGAAAATTCAAGGAGATAAGTTTTTTTTTTGAATCCCACATAAATTCCAATTATCGGGAACTATTGAGAATGCATTTCTTTGAATAGGATAGAATTTTGTTTTATTTATTTTTTTTTGCGATTTTCGATTTAGCGAGGTACAAATTATTAAGACTCGGCTGTATATATGTATATCATAGTTATGCAGCTGTGATCTTGCGAATCGGACAGCAAAATTCATATATTCTTATATAAGACTACATATGTATACACTTATTTATATATAGATAAATGCAATACATTCATATATTTATTTTTCATATATATATTTATCATATATAATTTAATTAATATGTAGCTTCAATAAAATAACGAATATATTCAACTCCAAAAATACCAAGCCATCCACATTTTGTCTCCTATCTAGCTAATATACTCCCAGTTTATAGAGTATCTGGAGCAACAGCAGCAACCACTGTGCTCTGTGTGTTTATGTTAACTGAGTGTGCGGCCGTCTGTGTGGGTAGATGACGCCAACGCGTTATCTGATAAACGTGAAGATGGCCAAACATTTAAATTAAAGATTGTCCGCCAAGCACAAAAAGTTGTCGAGTTGCTGTTGCTGCTGTTGTTGTTGCTATTGTTGCTGCTGCTGAGCACGTGTGCTGCCATTTTCATTCATTCAATGGCACTTCAATTAGGACAGAAAGTTAGCATTTTGCTGCTGTTGCTGTTGCTACTGCTTGCGTGCATTTTTGCTGGCTCATTCGCAATGCTAATTACAAAATACCAACGCATAATCACGTCACGTTTTCCACACATTCACTCAGTTACCTAAAATACAGTAAAAACAAGTAAGAAAGCTCTAGTCGAGACTGCTCGACTACGAGATCCCCTG